TCGCACTTTGCAAATGCAATTTTAAAACATTCAGATACTCTCATTTGTCTCGGCTTCATTTTATGTTAAATCAAATGCAACCGGACAGTTCATCTATTAGACTGAGATTCTCAGTCTCTCTCTCAAATGTTGATAGCATATAGCTCATAATAGCATAGGTCCACTCTGTTAACAGATATGTGTATTTGTAAGGGTGATAACAGTTAGGTAAAGTTGCCTAAGAGTCTCGATTCTTACCCAGCCACAATCTCTGATCATAACAAAAATGAACTAAAACTGTAATAATTCTTGTATAAAGATGCTACATCATTTCCATTTTCTAATAGAATAATTTTATGTAAATATCTGTAGAATTTATCCAGTTTTTAGTGCGTAAAATATTGCATACCGAAGGGTAACAAGTTAGACATATCAGCAATAATTAAAATATTTGGTAACACTTTATAAGGCCCCATTCGTTAACATTAATTAATGCAAAAACTAACTTTAACAATGAACAATATATTTTTACAGCATTTATTCATCTTTGTTATTGTTAGTTAATAAAAATGTTCATGTTAGTTCACTGTCCATTAACTAATGTTAACCGATAAAACTTTAAATCTTTAAAACATATTAGTAAATGTTGAGATTAACATTAATAAAGGTTAATAAATTCTGTAGAAGTAAAAGTTTAAAATATGCTGAACAGGGGCGGATTTAGTGAATTGGGGGCCCCAGGATGCAGTGGAAGGTAAGCACTGATGATCCTGAGATTGTGTGCATGTGTTTTTCTGAATTTATGTTTATCCTGAAAATAAACACACTGTTAAGAGGATATCAGGTGAGTCGTTGATGAGTGTGTGAGAGTTCAATGTTCCACTTATTACACGGCTACTCAACAAATAAATACTTGACATGAATTTTTTTATTTTTTTTTTACAGTGAATGTCTTTCATTTATTTTCTTGCATTATTAAAAAATTAGGGAATTATAGGAATCATCAAATAAAATTATTTCAAGACAAATACTATTTTGAGCAAATAATTTCCGCATGACGTTTCAGCAGTTGGAACTCGCTGAGTTTAAAGTTACAATGTAATTATGCTTATAACAAGAGGAATCTCAGAATTCTGACATTGCACCAAAACTTAACTATAGCAGCACAGATAAATTTATCTCCCCCTTTCTTTTACATTCTCTGGACCTCAAACTAGACTTTGAACAAGGCTGCTTCTAAATGCGATAACAGGGAAACGTTATCCTCCGTGGTGGCTGTGAATGATTGAGCAGCTTGTGTAAACCACTCTCTCTCTTTCTCTCTCATTTTTTTCTGTCCTGGCTCTTTTACGACTTACATTAACCATTTTTGTTTTACAGTTATTTATGAGACTGTATTTACAAACCAATATGATCATATTTTCGCTCTCTCTGTTCTTCTTCTTCTTCTTCTTCCTGCACTACACTGTACTCCGCCAGCCACCCCTCCCTCTCTATCTCTCAGTATCAGTTGGTGATTAAGTATTGATATCAGTCTCAAGTGTCTCATATGATACTAGCCAAGCGACAGTACGCACCCACCCACCCACACACACACACACACACACACACACACACACGCGTTCAATACTACCCTAAAATTACATGTAAATGTGGAATTGTGAACAAATGACAGACAGTAAATAAGTCCTGGTAAAGGTTCTGAGTCAGATCCTTCTGTCTGTGTTTGCTACAAGCATGAGAGTACAGGTATAATTGTGTAGATTTACATTACACTTAATTTCTATTTGTAAATGCGATCAATAAATAATTCTGTGTATGAAGTCAGTTGCCTTTATGTCCACACAGGTGCTCCAGCAGAGTCACTACAGTTGTAGTTCATCAACTATTAGACATATTCCACATGCCTGACTTTAAACAAATAAAATTAAAATTAAAATTCATAAAGTTATGTAAGTTCAGTTTTATTAAAGGTTAGTGTCAGTAAGGTTTTTTTTGTTTTAAAGAGTTTAATACTTTATTCAGCAATGCATTCAACTGATTTAAAATGACAGTACATATTATTACAGAAATTCTATTTCAAATAAATGAAATAAATCAACATAATAATAAATGTTTCCTGAGCAGCAAATCAGCATATTAGAATGATTTCTGAAGGATCATGTGACGCTGAAGACTGGAGTAATGATGCTGAAAATTTAGTGTTGATCACAGGAATAAATTACATTTTTAAAACATATTCAAATATATTATTTTAAATAGTAATAATACAATATTACTGTTTTACTGCATTTTCAATTAAATAAATGCAGCCTTAGTGAGCAAAAGAGAGTTATTTAAACAAAAAATAATACAATTTAGCATTGCATCACTTGCTCAGCAATGGATCCTCTGCAGTGAATGGGTGCCGTCAGAATGAGAGTCCAAACAGCTGATAAAAACATCACAATGATACACAAGTAATCCACACCACTACAGTCCATCAGTTAACATCTTGGCAAGTGAAAAGCTGTGCTTTTGTCAGAAACAGATCCATTATTTGTGTGTTTTAAACCATTGCTTCTGGCCAAAATATCAGTACATAATCCATAATAACATTTCCTCCATTGAAAAAGTCCATCTCCTGTTTTCCTCTTACATCAAAATCCATCGTTTATAGCTATTTTGGCATGTGCTTGATCTGTGCATAATTCTATCCTGATTTAAACCAGACAACTAAATTATCACTTGAGAAAGTAGTATTATGGAATTGGATTCATATTTTAGCTGTAAGCAACAGTTTAAAGTTAAAAAGTCTTAAAGATGGATTTTATTTCTTATGAACACACAGCTTTTCACTTCTTGGTTCTGATAAAAAAAAAAAAATCATCTACATCTCAGATGGCCTGAGAGTGAGTACATTTTAAGCAAATTAAGGCTGAAAGATAATGGTAAATACACACACTTCTTACACATAATACTAATGATGTAAGACTATACAATATAATAGAGAGAATGAGAAAAAGAGCAGGCTTGTGTTAGAAACAAATGTTTAAGTTCTCAATGACTCATTCTAAATCTTAAATACCACTTGGTACCCGACAGTCATGGCACTGCAATTCAGTCTGTCTGTCTCTCATTCTCTCTCTCTCTCTCTCTGCATGTCAGACTGGTTTCTGTTCACTTCTCTCTTTCTTCTTTTCTTTTCTTTTATTCTTAGGGGCTGTTTAAAAAAAGAGATGTTTGTTTAACATGTCTGATGACCCAGAAAAGGAATGGTTACAAGTGGACTTAATGGTTACAACTTTGTATGTAACTGTCAGTAAATGACTGTTCCTATAGTTATATTGCAACCAAGTGAATGGCATTGCCTGTAATTACATTTGGTGAAACTCTGTTAACCACAAAGTCATAATGTGATGTTCAGCACAGGAAATATGTTTATATATGTCAAACACTTAACATTCTTACCCTAAGAAATATAAGCAAATATTGCATAACGTTATAAATACCTAACTGATCCTGACTAATCCTGCTAATCTAACTTTGGTAAAAAACAGTAGGGCACAAAGGGTTTGGACCAATCAATGATGACTCTGAGTAATGGCATGCAAGGAAATTTAGATAAAAGACACCGGAACAAATGGTTAGGATTTTGTTGGTTAGCATTAGCCAGTTAGCCCCTGCTAGCAGATGCCATTCTGACGTAACTTCACCAATCAGAAGTAGCAATGTATGATGAAATTGTGTCATCTCATGTCTTCTTGACAATTGCGACTGAGATGAATGGAAATGCTATCAGTCTTTTGATATTATAGATCTCCTTGAACCTATCAAATACCACACCCTCTATTAAGTAGGCTACAAAGAAAGAATACTGGATAATCCAGTCTGGATTTATTTTACAGGTCAGGGAACTTCATTCTGAGTTAAAGACTTATTTAATAATTTTTGTTTGTCTTCATAACTAAAAAGGCAAAACAAAGGTTGTACTTCCTGGGACATCTCAAGACGTTCATCATCGCATGTTTCCTGACATAATCCATAACTGTCTGGTATGGGTCAGTCATGGCATCTGACTTTGACTACGGTCTGCCCATTTGAATCAAGATTCAGGAAGAGGGCAGTCTAGATCATCAGCAACCCCATAACCATATTCAGCTGGTGGCTGAATCTGTTCATTTTAAATACATGGGGCACTTTTCTTTTCATCTTTTTTTTTCTTTTTCAGTCACTTTTTTGCCCCTTGTTTGTATGTCTAAAGCAGGGGTGTCCAAACTCGGTCCTGGAGGGCCGATGTCATGTAGAGTTTAGCTCCAACTTGCCTCAACACACCTGCCAGGAAGTTTCTAGTATGCCTATAAGAGCTTGATTAGCTGGTTCAGGTGTGTTTGATTAGGGTTGGAGCTAAAGTCTGCAGGACACCGGCCCTCCAGGACCGAGTTTGGGCACCCCTGGTCTAAAGGGTTGGGGTTCTAAACTGTGTAACACCTACAGAAGCACTACACAGAAACATGAGCTGCACCAACTGAAAAGAATCATCAATGATTCAAACACAATCCTCATGTTCTAATTCTCTCTCTCTCTCTCTCTCTCTCTCTTCCTCTCTCACTAAAACAGCACGCGCATAAACACAAAGGCGTCATTGTCCTGTACCCATCTTCATCTAAGAACTATGAACTTTTGGTGGAAAATTATTCTGTTTATTTCAAAAGTTTTCACTTTTATGCTTTGAAAACTTATTTTAGGGACTACATTAGTGGGCTGCTTAACTTAGGAACTCGTGAAAATTAAGTTTTAACAAGTATTGTGAGCTGGTCCTTAACATGATCAAAACAGAACTGTATTATTTTTTTAACTATAGCCTGTAAACAACTATTAGGCACTCAGCATAGCCTATTGTTAGCGAGTATTGTTTAGTTGACGTTAAAGGTGGAATGATGTTTATTATCTTCAGAAGTTGTGTCAGTGATCCCTGTGAGTCATATTTATAGCACAGCTCTGCCTAAATACAAGCGCGCGTGATGACGCACCTCAAATGCAAATATACCTGTATCGAAAGAGCAAACGACGCACCTGACGCTTCCAGGGGGATTTGAGGGAAGGCCGAAAGTCTTTCTATTGTTCTAGCGTTTACACTGCTCGACCACTCCCTGCAGTGACTGTGTGAACGGAGGTTTCGCATATCCCGCCCTCCCTGGAGTTCTGATACACAACGCCCCATCTCATTGCCATTGGGAAAACCACCTCGCCTGTTGTGGCAAACGGGGCAGTTTTAACCGGCCAACACCATTTGTGGATTTATGTAAAAGTGTCAGAAGCTCAGGAGAGCGAGGGGACGTGAATTTCAGACTTTCGGACACCGATCTACCGGGTTCACCTGTACAGGTAAGTGGCGAAGGGCGGTGTTTCAGTTTAGAAACAGGTGTTACTCGCAACATTCAGTGAGTGCGGATAAATGAGCCTTCGCTATTTTTCCAGGCAGAGTACACTTAGGCGTGCCCTTTGGGTTCTGGTTTATTTTAAGGAGATGACTGACATTTAAAAGGCTCGCACTGCTGCATGTAAACATATTTTGAGGCTCGAGTTCATGATAGGGCTTTTCTATAATACAGTAGCCTATCATGGTATGACAGAGTACCTGTCACATGATGTTTTTAAATAGTTTCCTGAAGATTGAGGAACAGGTGAGCGCTTGGGACGTGATCTAAAGATTTACCTGCTCACTTTTACCGGCCCCATTCATCAATATTTAACCGGAGAGCGATAGTTTAGCTGGGGGTATCTCGCCATAAGACTGACATTCAACTCCTGCTTTGTATAAGAAACTAAAATAAAGAGATAATGTCAGGTGTGATTGAAAAATATCCTCATAGTCTCCGGTGTGTTTTTATTTATTTTCATTTTGTTGTAAAGAATAACGTTTTTGTATAAGGGGTCAGTTTGTGGGTTCTAACTGACTGTAAACGGTGTGATGTAACATTCTTGTTGCATACACATACTTGTGAAATTCACAAAACGTCGGGTTATAGGTCTATTTAGTTCCTTTTTTGTGGGTTAATACAAAAAGAAAAAAGGACTGCATTTTATGTATACATGGGTCCAATGTGATGAAGAAATCTTTTTAAACTCTTATTTAAAACGTGTTTCTTAGAAAACACACACATGCACACACACACACACACAAACACGTATATATAATTAGCCTACATTAAAGATGCCAAGTCATGTAACCAGTAAAAAGTGCAATTATATGTATTTTTATATTTAAATAGTTTTCTTAATGCTGTTCCATTTGCCTTGAACAAAACCCTGTTTTTTTTCATGAAGATGTACAAAAAAAAAAAACCTTAATGACCTTGACACAGCCATGAGGGTTTAAAGGGGTCTTCTCTGTTTTATGGCTTTCTTGCCAACAACATGGCTACCTGCATGCATGGTTATGCTACACTCATTATGTAGACAAACGTTTTTTCAAATATTTATAATTTAATACTATAGTTAAGATATAAAACAAATAAAAACAAATGGTAATGCCAAAATATAAAAAATGATCAAAACATCAAATTTACATAAGCTAATTTGAAAAATTGATAATCGTTTCATTATAGAGCATGTGTACATAACTTAATAGATCCAGGCCAAAAATGAGCATGCTCAACCTGGGTGAATGCAAGCACGATTGTGCTAATATTAATGCCATGCACAGTTAAATTTTTCCTCAAGATCGATCACTAAAAATTGATACATCCTCCAGTCCTCACTTTAGTGCTGGGTGAGTGTCCCTTTTAATGTAATGCAAAAAAATTAATAAGAATAAAAAAGTAATATGAAAAACTCTCACCACTTATACCACACATACAGCTCTAATTTCTCGAGAAAGATGTTTGATTTAGTAAATGTGTGTATGTGTGTGGCAGGGGGAAGGGAAGATCCTGTTAGACCAGTTTAAAGTCATTTGCTCCATGAGCACCTGCTGCTTGGACTCCACTTTAGAGTCTGCTGTCATGATACCTGTGTGTATATGGTGTGAAATTCTAGAGAAAAGTATAGGTTTAATCAGAAAAGGTGTGATCGCAGAAGTCTAATGTGGCTGGGTTTTTATGGTTTTGTTGATCATTTGGTTTTGGACAGATATTTCTCCTTCACTCTTTGTGTGAGATATTATTTTTATACACACACCAATCTTATCTGTTTTCCATGACATTTGGATTAGTACCGTAAGATATGATCAGCTGTTTTGTCCTCTTGTGAATAGAGGACATCTTTTCCTTGAAAAGGATGTGGCCTGCTGGCTTTTGCATTCCTTTGCATATTAAAAGTCCATTCGAACTCTCTGAACCACACGCAAAGCATCCATTAGCCAATCGCTTATTCTCACTAACGTCATTTTTTCCAGGTATGTAGTGTCTTTAGTGGGGGTCTTAGATGGGGGTTTGTTCATTAAGCTCCAACTGAGTTAAGTAGCATAATCTTTCTACTATGTAAGGTTCTAATGAGGTTGTTACTGGACGTCTAGTAGGCCTATTTCATTTGTGTGACCATAGTGAAACATTCGAGATTTTGATCAAGTTCATTTGTTGCCTAATTTAGCAGAAAAAGGCCTATCACGGTCAGTTCACCACAGCTGATTTTATGAATCGTGTACTATTTATTCAGTCTTAAAGTATCAAAAATAAAACAAAAAGCACATAAAATATGCCTTGTTTGATGAATATAAAAAGCTTATTTTCATGAGCAGGGAAATCCCCCATTATGGTTAGAGAAACCCAGACACCCCAATACACATTCGATCTGATCACACTGTATGAGCTGTTTGTATTTGCTCTTTGATTGTCTGGGTGTTCATTCTCCCTTATCAGGTATCACAATCATCATAATGTGTCACGTGACCAAAATGCTCATGTGTTAATGCCATGATGATAACATCTAGCTATGCCTATACTTATGTAGATAACCCCTGACTCCTAGAAAGTTCCTGTTCATCTGCTTTTAGTCTGACACATGCACTTTAAATATAAAATTCAGTGTTTCTAGTAAAAATATGTTACTGTCTGTTTAATGAATACATAAAGAGATGAAATAGTGCTAAATCACAAACACCTTTAAGTATAATATTGTTTTCCTAAAAGTACGCAGGTCTTAACCTACATGGCAAACAAATTAATATTACTCCAAGCTTTTGGCTATGACATCAAAACCTGGGCGTTTATTCATCCAATATTCACTTTTTTTGGCCATTTAGATCCCAAAAGTTATGATAACAACAATATTAATCGGTATAAATATTTGTAAAATAGTAATATGTTATGTTTTTATTGTTTTAGTCTAATGATCATGTAGTTATAATTGTCGTAAAGCAATATTGGTTGAATTTCAATGCAGTTTAATGCATTGTAAAATAAGTTTAGAATAGTATGGATTAATCAAGAGAATCTAATTTTATCAGTTAATCGGTATAAATATTTGTAAAATAGTAATATGTTATGTTTTTATTGTTTTAGTCTAATGATCATGTAGTTATAATTGTCGTAAAGCAATATTGTATTGGTCACGAAAGGGAATATTGGTTGAATTTCAATGCAGTTTAATGCATTGCAAAATGTTTAGAATAGTATGGATTAATCAAGAGAATCTAATTTTATCAGGTGATGTTTGTGTGGCAGCCTAAACAACAGTGCGATCACATTGGTTCTATCGTTCATCTCAACGTTTTCCATGTGTTTAATAGCGAATGATTCTCCATTCTGATAGGCAGGAAACCTGAACCGTCCATTAGTAATACAAGCTATGACGTTGCTAGGGTACAGCTTGATTCTGGCCGGGTTGCCATGGCAACCGTCAACATTCTGGTATAAAAAGGTTGTAATAGTGATAGCCCACCTGAAACTGAGAGAGCCAAATGGTGGAAGGGTCACGTTAGAAACAACAGCCGTCATTTAAAAGCAAAAGAAATGGGAAATTTACCTCAACAGCTGGCTTATATGGCCCGGGAAACATACCTTCTTAAGTCTCCTTGTTCTCCTCACAGCTTCACTGTGTCTGAACACCACTAAACACCTGTTTGGTATTTACAGATAGGGGTTTCATAGATTTATTCAACACACTCGATTTGACATGCCTTTTTATTTAAGGACAGTCCTTCTATATAATTTTGGGAGCAGTTTGTAAGCCTTAAACACAACAGCAAGATTCATAGCTTCCACTTTTACTGTCAAGGACATTGCTTTTGTTTTTAGAGAGGGTTTTTCCATGCAGCACTGTTGTTTTAGCTATCTGACGGAAGAGAAATGTGGCAAACCTCATTTGGATGAACGCCCAAATGAAAATACAATTGTTTGAAAGGATGCAATTTATAAATGCAGACCACTCAGGGTCCTGTCTGCCTTATAGAGACAATGTGGAGATATAATTTCTGAACAGAATAAAAAGTACACTTTCCCTTTACCTTTTTGTTCTTTATGTGCATCTTTGTCTTTCTCCTTTCACACATTGACATACACCTGTTTATTGGATCCCCAGGCTCATGACCTGCTGTAGGTTATGTGCTTTAATTAAGGTGTGAGACTAAAGAGAGACTTAAAGATGACAGACGAGAACACCAAAGCCTTAGGGATTGGGTTTAAAACATGTTATTAAACTCTAGGGCTGCTAAGGCATGCAGGTGTTTCCTGGGCACCAGAGCTAAATTGGTCATTGTTATTGATTCATTGTATTTTTAAGGCTCTTACAACTATACATTTTTAATTTACATGTAATTAGAATAGTCTTATGACTTAGAAGCATGAAATGTTAAAAGAGAGATTTGATGATTTAAACTTCAGAAGCAAAAATGAAAAAAAGATTTGATAAGTTTGAGTCACTTCCATGAATTAGTTTAAACCATCTCTCAAAGATTAATTTGTGTCATCATTCGAAAATGTTCATGCTAGTTCCTGTGTGACATTTTTCATATATTAAACATATTCTGCAGTTTAAAAGTTTGGCGGGAGTAAGTTTTTTTTTTTTTTAAATGTTTTTGAAAGAATTCTCTCAATGGCTGAATTTATTTAACACACTTATGATACCTGAATTTATTTAATACAGCGAAAACAGTACTATTGTGAAATATTATTACAATGTAAAACCGTTTTCTATTTGAATATATTTTGAAATATAATTTATTCCTGTGATGGCAAACCTGAAATTTCAGCATCATTACTCCAGTCTTCAGTGTCACTTCAGAAATCATTCTAAAATGTGGAATTTCAAGAGAACAGCATTTATTTGAAATAGAAGTTTTTGTAACAATTGAATAATCTTTAATGTCACTTTTGATCTATTTACTTGTCCTTGCTGAATAGAAGCATTAATTCTTTCAACAACAACAAAAAATCAAACTGACCCCAGTTAAAATTCTGAAATATAATTCTTCCTTGTGTTCAGCTGGTTGAAAAGAGTGTGGGAAAACTTGCCTTGATTATTTTAACCAGGCCTAAAGATCATATTTGGAAAAATAAATAGGAATTGGGCACTGTGTAAACAACCCATAAACGTTTCAGTATAGTTGGGAGCATGAAATATGTGAAATATGTGTGTAAAGGTAACGTGACTTGAATGTGTGTGTAAGTTTATGTTTGCAGAATGCGCAGTGAACTTTGCTCATTATATTAAAGGAAACAATCCACAGTATCATAGGCCCACACATTTATTGTACACATACACATACACAGTTATGACGCACATTTTCTCAGACACACAGAGAACACAGTGTGTGTCTTGGACCAGCGGGTTGAATCAGTCACTGATTCTAAATGCTATCCCTTTGTATTTGAGCTGAAATGCTCTGTAACTACACCCAAAATGAATGATTTAGATTTAGAATATTTGCACTTTTATGACTATGTAAAGGGTGCTATGAAGCTGTGATTCAGGTGAATTGTCAGAGCTCAAAAAATAACAAACGCATTAAAATTAGTAACAATCATTAACAACAACAGTTAATAACAACAATTTTTCCAGCACGTCAGGTTTAGCTCATACAATAGTACTTAATATCAGTCAGAGGTTGCTAATTTGGCCAATTCATTATATAGCTAAAAAAAACTCTTGGTTATTCTGAGGCTATGTTAACAGGTAAAACAAAAGGCCAACACTACTGTTCCCTTTTGATTGGTCTCTCCCATTGCGTTAACACTGTCATGGATGACTCTGTCATTGACAGCTTCAGATGCGGAAGCGTGGGTGTGTTCTGGCGAAGACCCCGACACCCTTACTCCGACGCAGACAACATGGCCCAGTGTGGACAGCGAGATGATCCGCATTCTAACCAAGACTGTGGAGGATCTCAGCCTGGCTTGGTGGGCTCCAGAAGAGCCTGCCCACGGCCTCCTTGATGAGTGGTACCTGAAAGAGCGCCGTCAACAATCCTCCCACCAGCGGCCTGTCCCGTTCCTTTCGACAGTTCATGAGGAGCTCACCAGGACGTGGCACACCCCCTACTCGGCACATGTTAATTCTTCCAATTCTGCCGCTCTCACCATTGTTGACGGCGCTGAAGAACGAGGTTATAGCAAGCTCCCCCCTCTGGAAGAGGTGGTCGCTGTGCATCTGTGCCCTCTATCGGCCTTGGGGTTAAATGTCCATGCAGCACATCCATCTAAGCCCTGCAGGACAACCTCAGCCCTAGAGAACAGGGCTTATTCAGCGGCTGGCCAGGCTGGCACAGCACTTTATATGATGGCGGTGCTCCAGGCCAAGCTTCTCCACACCATGGATGAGTCTGGCCAGAGTTCTGACGCCTTCAGGGAGCTGCACACAGCAACTGATTTGGCTCTGCGCACTTCTAAGGCCACTGCACAGGCTATCGGCAAGGCCATGGCCAACTTGGTGGTGCCACCTTTGGTTGATTCTAACCGAGATCAGGGAAGCTGAATGGGTTTGCCTAGCGGTTTACAGCAGCACAGAAGTCATCGCAGGCAATGCGTAACTTTGAAGCCCCCCCCCCGTGTGGTGATCTGCCACTTGAAAAACTCGACTACTTGCCATCCGGCTTCTGGTTTGGAAAGTCACCACCCTTCTAGCGCTCCCCAATTCAGAAGGCGAGCAGGGTCCTAATCCACTCTGCCCAGTTCAGGCCCTTAGAGTGTATGTTGAGCGCTCTGTCACATTTTGCCACTCAGAGCAGCTCTTTGTATGCTTCGGAGGCCGCTCTAAAGGGCTGCCAATCTCGCTGGATGGTCAATGCTATAGTCCTGTTATGCTTCCGTGGGCTTACAGTGTCCTATAGGAGTGAGGGCCCACTCCACCAGAGGGATGGCCTTCTCCTGGGTTTGGTCCAGCAGAATTTCTATCTGTGATATCTGTGTGGCCGCCAGCTGGTCGTCGCCGTCTACCTTCACCAGTTTTTATAACTTGGACGTCCCTGCCCTGCTGGCACGGATTTTGTCAGCTTAATATACCTAACCCCCTTTGTAAGTAGGAAAGGTCATGCTATGTAGTCCTCAGCCTAGCGGCTTGGGTCTCATTATTAGCTCATGCTTACAGGAGCCCTCAATATGGGCGCTCCGGGGTTGGGTTCGCAGAGCGGCTTCGTTCTGCACTTGCTTATAGCACGGTGCGATTGGATTTGTTCCCCATTGAGTGTTAACGCAATGGGAGAGACCGTTCGAAAGGGAACTTTCCGGTTACTCTTTCAGTATCCTGACATCCAACCACTAACTGGAGTGTATGTAAAGGCTGTCTTCCCTCACTACTGTTGATTATCATACTTTATGATCATTAAAGCTGTTGAAACTGATACTCCCCTCTGTGTGTTCTGACCGACATACCTGGTTCACTACGATACCTTACTAGCCCTAATAATTCAGGTAGCTCTTCGCTACAGGTCTCATTATTAGCTCATGCTTACAGGAGCCCTCAATATGGGCGCTCGGGTTGGGTTCGCAGAGCGGCTTCGTTCTGCACTTGCTTATAGCACGGTGCGATTGGATTTGTTCCCCATTGAGTGTTAACGCAATGGGAGAGACCGTTCGAAAGGGAACTTTCCGGTTACTTACGTAACCTCGGTTCCCTGAGATAAGGCAACGAGCGTTTCATAGGCTGCCGTGCTATAAGGCTGTAGGTGAGTCGACGACTGTCACTTCAGTCGAAAGATTGTGATGAAATGGTATTCAGAGGCGACTTATATTGCAGTCGGCTTTACCCCTTTTGGCGGGTTGAAGCGCCTTTGGTTTGTACAGCTACACGAACGTGATCAAATCAGGCTTCAGTATCAGAGTAAACAGGAGTTTCCCCATAGCGTGTTAACGCAACACTAATTTCCTTATCTCAGGGAACCGATTTTACGTATTTGTAGGGGATTGGGAGGGAAGGTAACAACTACCATTAATTCCATTTATTGTTTTGTGATTGAATTAACGGTTGAATTAACAGAAGACCACAATGGATTTTCAGTTTGGGGATAGGTTTGTTTAGCATTCCTAATATTGTAACAGGCCCTTAGTTATGCTTTCATGGATGCTAAAATGCTTACACTCAAGTATTGATTTGTGTAGTTGCTCAGTACAAGGGTCAATGATAGATAGAAGTATCTCTAATCATTTGTTGTCTTTCTTTCTGCAGTCATGAAGGCTTTTTTCCTGCTTGCCACATTGCTGTGGTGTTTAACAGCGAGTTTCTCCTGGGCAGCTAAGATTGTGGTGGTTCCTCCAATTATGTTTGAGAGCCACCTTTATATTTTTAAGACCCTGGCCTCTGCTCTCCATGCTGAGGGCCACGACACAGTCTTCCTGGTCTCCGAAGGTCGCGAGGTCCCACCTTCCAACCATTATCGTCTCCAGCGCTACCCTGGAATCTTTAACAGCACCTCAGCCGACGACTTCCTCCAATCAAAAGTTCACAACATTTTCTCAGGGCGTCTCACAGCACTGGAGCTTTTCGACATCCTGGACCATTATTCTCAAAACTGTGATGCCGTTGTTGGGAGTGCTTCTGTCATGGAGCAGCTAAAACGTGAACAGTTTGACCTCCTGCTCGTTGATCCTAATGAAATGTGTGGATTTGTCATAGCTCACATCCTGGGTGTCCAGTACGCAGTATTCAGCACAGGACTGTGGTACCCTGCAGAAGTTGGGGCGCCAGCACCCCTGTCTTACGTCCCAGAATTTAACTCTCTATTAACAGACCGTATGTCATTGTTCCAACGGGTAGCTAACACAGCAGTGTACCTGGTTTCCAGATTTGGTGTCCAGTTCCTGGTTCTGCCCAAGTATGATCGCATCATGAGGAAATACAACATCCAGCCATCTGTGTCCATGCATGATCTAGTTCAGAATAGTCGACTCTGGATGCTGTGTACTGACTTGGCGCTCGAGTTCCCACGACCCACTCTGCCACATGTTGTCTATGTAGGTGGCATCCTCACCAAACCCCCCAGCCCCTTGCCACAGGTAAGAAACAAGTGCTATTATATTTAAAACATTCTCTAAACATTGTTATGTTACTTTTGGCATTTTTTTTGTGGTATCACTTTCAGGTATGCACAAGATAATGCTACGATGGCTCATTAGTGCACAACATAATTTAAAAAGCAAGCATAACTTTACAGTGGAATCAAGCTACAACACAACGGAAACGAACATATGGAAATGCTCTTGCGCATTAGTGTACTTAACCAACTACTATCACAATGCTAAATTCAACTACTTACTCATTAGTTACTTGTTGATGTGTAAACCTCCCCTTTAAATAATGTGACGCTTCCTTAAAAGGAGAGTTAACCCAAAAATTAAAATTACCCCATGATTTCCTCAACTTCAAGCCATCCTAGGTGTATATGACTTTCTTCTGTCAGACGAATACAATCAGAGTTATATAAAAAAATGTCCTGGCCTTTCCAAGCTTTATAATGACAGTGAATGGTGGTCGAGATTTTGAAGCCCAAAAAAGTCCATCCATCCATCATAAAAAGTGCTCCACACGGCTCAGGGGGTTTAAATAAAGTCCTTCTGAAGCGGAGTGATGCATTTGAGTATGAAAAATATCCATATTTAAAACTTTATAAACCGTAATCTCTAGTTTCCGCTAACTGTCGTACACGCGGTTACGAGAGAGTGGCGTTCCAGTGGATGACATAGGACGTAGGCGTAGCGTAAGCTCCGGTGAGAATATGCTAGTCTTGCGAGAACCAAGTTTTGTTTACAGCAAAGGAAAACCAGTCTCCTCTTGGCTTATATCGAAATCCTCTGACATTTTTCTTTACAAATCCTCATTTTGTACTTCTAATTCTTGACCGGTGTTTTGTTTTGCTCACTCCTCTGCGCTTCCATGTTCACTTCTCACCGGAGCTTACACTACACCTATGTCCTACGTCTTCCGCTGGAATGCCACTCTCTCGTGAATGCATGTATAACAGTTAGCCGGAAGCAAGAGATTACTGTTTATGAAGTTTTAAATATGGATATTTTTGTTACACAAACGCATCGCTTCGCATCAGAAGACCTTTATTAACCACCCGGAGCAGTGTGGAGCACTTTTTTTATGGTGGATGGATGCACTTTTTGGGCTTCAAAATCTTGACCACCATTCACTGCCATTATAAAGCTTGGAAGAGCCAAGACAATTTTTTATATAACTGATTGTATTCATCTGAAAGAAGAACATATAAACCTAGGATGGTTTGAGGGTGAGTAAATCATGGGGTAATTTTCATTTTTGGGTGAACTATCCCTTTAAGTTCAATGAGCTGAGTCATTTTTCTGCCATCTGTAAAGATGCGATAAATCTGACATTGGGGTTTAATGCAGTTTCCAATGATTTAATAAAATCCATTTTGAACAATTTTTATTGTTCCAGTCTTTTTTATGGGCACTAGTAATTCACATATATTAATTACTACAGTTGAACGAGCCAGTCAGTTGGAGTTGACCTTTCTCAGCCTTCTTCAAGGTTGCACTAAAATCTAGATACTGGCACTGTTTAATGCTCTAACAAAATAACACTGAGCTGCCCTATTGCTTGATAAGTCTGATTCGTGCAAGTGGTTAATGCTAGGGATAATGGCATAATGAAATCTAAATATTGAACAGTTTTACTGTACCAGTCTTTTTTTATGAACATTTGAATTTTGCATATGGGGCAATACACACAAAGCCAGCTATTGTGCACTCAGCTCATTTTGTGGTGATGCTTCTCAGCCACCATTGAGAGTGTGTTAAAGCTAACATTCAGGCTGTATACGGGAAGTAATGGTCTAATGAAATCCAAATTTTGAACCGTTTTGAATGTACCATTCTTTTTATGAACACATGAGCTGTGTTAGCCTAGTGTTAGGTTTAGCCCACCCTCTGTGGTGGCTGAGAAAGACGAGTTTTGTTGTGGCTGGATTCCGTTGGGTTGTGGCATAATGTTGTAAAATTATGTTGTGTTTTTTACATTTTGTTGTGCTATGGACTACTTGGCCACGGTTGTGTTCACTGTCAGAGAAAATGTGCAAAAATGGTACCTTTAAGGGTACAACAACTTGTCACAGGGGCAATACCCTTAAAGGGACATTTGTACATTTAGATTACCTTTGCCATTGTCTAACACTCATTTAAAGTTAATCTTTGAAAACACTGTTAATTTAATAAAACTGTAAATTGTAAAAAAAATGTAATATTTATCAAATATAAAAATAGCCATTTTACATACTGTACATTATAATTTGATGTCTAAATTTAGCATTTAAAATAAATGATTTCAGTTTTTAGTGTTTAGACAAATTAGTACAGAATGTTGTTGTCACCCATTTATCCATAGCATGTAAATAATTATCAGCGTATCTTTTCATTGCCTACTAGTTCATGTTCTAAATGGAAAGCTTATGAGCTGTATATTTGGATCAGTTTAAACAACAACCTTTTTTTTGTTGTTGTTGTTTGCTTGCTCCGCAATCCTCTGTTGAGACTACAGTTACAATTTATATTCCAAAAAGCATGTAAATAATTATCAGCGTATCTTTTCATTGCCTACTAGTTCATGTTCTAAATGGAAAGCTTATGAGCTGTATATTTGGATCAGTTTAAACAACAACCTTTTTTTTGTTGTTGTTGTTGTTTGCTTGCTCCGCAATCCTCTGTTGAGACTACAGTTACAATTTATATTCCAAAGTTCCCTTGTTCTTTCAGTAAATGCATTGTGTGCACATGCAGTGCTTTTGATGCTTGAGTTCATTAATGGCAAGAAAATTACATCATGTGCTGATATGGGGATCGACTGACACAGGAACCTCATTTTCACTTGGCCTCATACAAAATGGCCAACCTCAAAAATCCCACATCCCACTCCCTCAAACAAGTGACCTAGGTCACCTTTCCAGTTTAAAAACCATTAGGCCGGGTGTGGTGACAAGTGGCTATATAAACATTAAGAGAATATCCCGTGTATTTGAGTCATTATTATCTCTGTGTTAGGTTCGTTTAACAGCTCAATAATGTGAAGTCTTGATTTTGCACCAGGGTGTTATGCTCACAAAGGCTGCTCTTATCAATCCGGGTGATTGTGCAGAGCTGTCCACTGAATAGGAGTGGGGGGTTCTGAACCTAAGCTTGCACTTTTGGAATACCAAGGGCCCAAATGGCTTCATTGTATGCCGTGGAGCCATAATGCAAATGGCCGGGTGTGGTGACAAGTGGCTATATAAACATTAAGAGAATATCCCGTGTATTTGAGTCATTATTATCTCTGTGTTAGGTTCGTTTAACAGCTCAATAATATGAAGTCTTGATTTTGCACCAGGGTGTTATGCTCACAAAGGCTGCTCTTATCAATCCAGGTGATTGTGCAGAGCTGTCCACTGAATAGGAGTGGGGGTTCTGAACCTAAGCTTGCACTTTTGGAATACCAAGGGCCCAAATGGCTTCATTGTATGCCGTGGAGCCATAATGCAAATAGTGTGTTTGTCAGTGCAGGGTGTGTGAGTGTGTGTTTATGTGTGTAAATGTGCCAATTGTCGGGTGTGTATGAAGGACACTGAGACCAGTGTGAGGAGCGGACAGTCAGTGCCAGGCCAATGCAGGCTGTTCAGCTGCAGCTGGACTCCCTCAAACAGCGAAAAAGCAGGTCTTAGACAAAAACCTGCTCATTTTGAAGCTATGCTAACTGCTAACACAAAAGGCTAAAGGCTCTAAGTCTAATTAGCACCATTCATTTTTTTGTGCTAACAATTGCACTACAGTGCTAACAATGCACTAAATGCTAACACAAAGCCATACTCATCTTAGAATTTTATTTGACATTTTTTGAATATGTAAGCAATGTTATAATATAACAATCAAAAGCTAAATCTAAAAAATATGAACCAACGATTTAAAACTAATTAAAAAGTTCAAATGTCAAGCTCATGTTTTTGGTTTAGCACTTATTACTTGTATTACTCTATAATAATTTAGGTTTATAATTTGAGCTGTAAATTTGTCTAAATAACCCTTTTTTGTGGGAATGCTTTTCTAGGTGGATGAACTTCTGGTTATGTGTTGCCAATGTTTACTCCATGTAAACAGTTTTTTACAGATAGTATCATTATGTCCCTTTTCTGGTAATTTTGCACATATTGTGTGAGAGTTACTGGGTTACTGACATTGTCGTCATTAGGTCCTCAAAGTTAAAAGACTGAAAACATCTGTACACAATCTCAGTAAATATTCATATGTAATATTTGAATTTTATGGCTATAATTAGATTTAAAAAAAACTAATTAAAAAGTTCAAATGTCAAGCTCATGTTTTTGGTTTAGCACTTATTACTTGTATTACTCTATAATAATTTAGGTTTATAATTTGAGCTGTAAATTTGTCTAAATAACCCTTTTTTGTGGGAATGCTTTTCTAGGTGGATGAACTTCTGGTTATGTGTTGCCAATGTTTACTCCATGTAAACAGTTTTTTACAGATAGTATCATTATGTCCCTTTTCTGGTAATTTTGCACATATTGTGTGAGAGTTACTGGGTTACTGACATTGTCGTCATTAGGTCCTCAATGTTAAAAGACTGAAAACATCTGTACACAATCTCAGTAAATATTCATATGTAATATTTGAATTGTATGGCTATAATTAGATTTAAAACTTGCTATGGCTATAATAATAAAACTGTGTGTTTATTGCTGTGTATGTAAATAAAAATATACTGTAGTCTTCATAGGTTATTCAAGCTTTTAGTTTGTAAAATGAATTTAAATATTATTCCAAAGTTAAACCAAAAATCATCATAATGCGTCATTACTATCATAACTGAATGAGCGAGATGAATAAGCATTCATCAGATTTTTTATTTACCAGAAGTTGGAGACGTGTCGAATGTGATGACAGAATATTTTCATACACTCAAATGACTTGCTGTTGCTTCATCATAGAATTATCTGATCAAAATAACAAAATATCTTTGGCTGTCACAACTGTCCTAGAGCAGTCTAGTTCATTTTCCCATTTTGGAGTTTAATATTAGCCATACAGTTTCTCCTTTTATATTTAACTTTGTGTTATTGTTCTGCTTTAGGTGGCTTATTAAAGCTAAGGTTATCTTTTAATACGAAATCCAGCCAAGAGCAATGAAGGCTTTTCTTTTTCTTGTCATTATTTTTGTTCGGTTAATATTCTGTGATTTTTGAATGCGTATATTAACTACATGTGTACAGTATGTAATCTAAGTAATCTTCCTTTTTGAATTACCCCAATATTGGTAATTAAAGCAGGATAAAGTGATTCTGCGCTCTATATGCTCCAGATTGCTCTCCATGGATGTACCAAGGTTTAATACATAAAAAAAAAAATCAACCCGCACAACCTGAAGTTTTGTCCAGTCTGGCCCTTGATCTAAAATGTGTTTGACACACCTGGTCAAAGTCTAATTTACACAGCTCTAAAAAAAGACACTGACATTTGTACATCACATTTATTTCATTTTCCATTGTGGTGGCATAGCACTTACCACTGAAAATGGCATATGGTTGACATAAAAGGTTTTTGAGAAATCTTGATCATGATTTCTTTTCAGGTTGAGGGATTTCTAAACATGAAATGTGTCTCTGTCAAAGGTAAAGTAGCTTGAGAAATGTCCACACCTTAAAACCATTTAATATTATGAAATGCATGTTTTCACTTGTTTGGAAATTAAAAGTTGTATGTAATGTCCCTTTAAGTCAAACTATGTAGCAATGTGCTGGTGAACACTGATACTCCGATAATAAGTTGCATTCTTCAGCCATTTTATTGCATGCTTACAAAAGCACGGTCTCATAAATCAAGTGTTTAACAAACTTTCTGTTCTCTTCTGTTCAAAGTGCTTACTATCAGATGGTAATACTTTGATGCGTACTATGGTACTGAATAATTACCAGATTCATATACAGTGGTATTTATGTGCAGCTGTTATTTTCTGGAGATATTTCTAGTCCCTTTTTACTTTTAACTTAATGTATTCAAATGAAATTATATTTACAAATCAGACAGAACCATTTTATTTAGATGCTAATTTTGATTTCCATATAACGTTGAATTGCTTTGTCTTGTGAATATAGTCAGCACAAATTTCATAGATTGTTGAACTGTGTATTTGATCTGTGTGTGTGTACAGGAGTTTGAAGCCTGGGTGAAGGATACAGATGAACATGGTTTCGTAGTGGTGTCGTTTGGCGCAGGAGTCAAGTATCTGTCAGATGACATTGCTCGGAAACTTGCAGGAGCCTTGAGCCGTCTTCCCCAGAGAGTCATCTGGAGGTACTGCCATTCCATTCATTTCCTCTTTCATGTGATCAGTGAACCATTTTGCCAACAGATCAAATCACCTGCGTATCTCTCCATTATAGCTTATTCTATCACATAGTATCCAATGGGAACTGAACTGTGGTGGTGGGTCACTGATAAGTTAGTTGTGGCTACAACTAACTATTTTGTTTTCCATTTCCAAACCTGTAAACCCTCATTCAAAATGAAGGTTTCGTTAGACTTTCCAATGGTTTCTGAATGCAAAACTTGATGAATTCATTTCGGACTAAAGCATTGTACAGATTCACGTGTAATTTACTGAGAGTGTTGTCAATAATTATGATGAATCTCAGTATGTTTGTTTTAAATCCCAATCAATCTTCATCCTTTGTTGGCAGTGGAGGGACATTTGATCCTCTGAGATGGTGGTACATAAGTCATGATCATGAAAAAACATTAAAAAAATGTAAGGATTATTCTGATCATCATTTGATATTTTGGTTTGTTGTATTGTAATAGTTTAAAACCTTCTCTCTAACAAAAATACACATTCAATACAATACCTAGCGGGCACATTGATACCAATTTGACGTCAAATACCAGTCAAAACTTGATCAAGATGCTGTAACATCATTTTAAATTCAGTTTGGTTTGGCAGTTTCTTCCAGTGGTAGTTAGGTGAAAATAGGAAGTTAATCCCACACTGAAACCAATCAATCTTCATCCTTTGTTGGCAGTGGAGGGACATTTGATCCTCTGAGATGGTGGTACATAAGTCATGATCATGAAAAAACATTAAAAAAATGTAAGGATTATTCTGATCATCATTTGATATTTTGGTTTGTTGTATTGTAATAGTTTAAAACCTTCTCTCTAACAAAAATACACATTCAATACAATACCTAGCGGGCACATTGATACCAATTTGACGTCAAATACCAGTCAAAACTTGATCAAGATGCTGTAACATCATTTTAAATTCAGTTTGGTTTGGCAGTTTCTTCCAGTGGTAGTTAGGTGAAAATAGGAAGTTAATCCCACACTGAAATTGGTTTAATGTATATGTAGGCCAATATGTTTGATGTTCAGTTTACATCAAATCAATGTCATGTCAAGTTTTTGACGTCAGTTTGATTTACATATTCGACCTGTTTTTTGATGTCAATTTTGATGCCAATTTGATGTCTTTTCAACATCAATTGCCCACTGGAGGCTCAGAGACAAATACTATAATAAAATGGTTTACAAATGGCTTTTGAAACCCCCACCTTAATTTTTTTTATGTATAATTCTATAGGGGTCATTCACCTAAAAATGAAAATTCTGTCATTATTTACTTTGCACTCGTGTCAGAAAACTGTTGGACTTTATTTCTGTGGAACACAAAGACAGAAATGATAAAGAATTGCACTGGTTCATTTTTCCATACAGTTACAACGACTGGGAACTTACAAAAAGTGGTGCATAGTGCATAGAGTACAACTTGTGTGCTATATTGCAAGTCATCTAAAGCCATATTATAGCTTTGTGTGAGGAATAGTCGAAAATTGAACTTTACTACACATATAGAACCACTTTAATATTAATAATGCTAATTTTGCAATCAATAAAGCTGGAAAGCCTCAGTCACCATAAGGGATTCATTGCATGGAAAAGAGCAACCACAAATTTCCTAGTTTCCTACCATGGAAGAAATAAAGTTAAATGGCAATTTTTTCATTTTTAAGGGGATGATTTATTTGCTTTAAATACTGTATTAATATTGAAATGGCTTTATATAAAGCAGAATTTATAAAATAATGTAGGTTTTGAAAGGTAATGCTCTTATGAGTTAGCCCAGCTCAAAAATATATCACATGTGCATGTAAACTTTCCCATTGGATTAATTTTGTTTCTCTATGCTTACATTTAAACGTCCTTTTATGGTTCTTTCCTCTTTAGCTTTTCCTAAGTGAACTTGCATGCTTATAAATAGCAGCACCTTTTGTTGTCATATGCACTCATATCGTCATGACTCCCGTAGTCATGCCATATAATCTCAGTTGCTTTCTTGTGTTCATGCAAATGTGCCAAGGCAAGTCTTTACTAATGAGGAGACTGTTGGGAGCGGAAATGCCCAGGGAACACAAACACATTCTGTGCATATACTGTACAGATAGATGGACACACTTCTGTGAGCCTCAACAATATACCACTCTTGTTACGTATTCAGACATGAAGTCATGAACATATGGTCTCAACTCTTTCTCTCTCACACTGTGCATAGATTATAGTAATGGTAATTAGAGTCACTGACTGCTGTCGGGTTTCTTAGTAACTGTAGAATGTTTGTCATTAGGTTTGGCACATACTGGCCTTTAGGTTGTGTGTTGTTTGCTCACAAGTGACAGATCTTGACTAAATCTCAAGCCAGACTTCAAGATGAAGGCTTCATATAATCTCCACTGAAGAACTCTTGTTGTATTGTTAGTTTAATTAGTTATTTAGCAGATGTGCAAATACGTGAGTATTTATTTCTTAAAGCCAACATGAAATCACATGCTCAAGTAACATTTCTTATAATTAGCATTCTTTTCAAATCAATCCTACCGACCCCATACTTTTGAGCAGTGGTGTGTGTTCCTGGTGTTTTTGTACTCAGTTTATCAGTGCATGCTTTAAAGAAAAATTGTTTGTCCTTGTAATGTGAAAATAATTCCCTTTTTCTGCTGATGTCAATTAGGCCATGTGGTCAGCAAAAAATGCTAACCAATAACATTATACAATAGCTATTTAGGCATTGTTTTAGGCTACTGTTGTAGGTAAAGCAGCCTTTCAATTATGTTGCTAATAGTTACCACAATAATTTACTTCAACATGTAGGTCCCATCCTACATTGCTTTTGCTCTTTGAATATTCTGTTTCATTTGGAAATCCATCACTTTACATAATCAAATAGGTTGCGAATACAGTTTCATGTTGCCTTCAATGCCTTTCTCAAAAGTACAATGGTTGTATCTCTTGTTGTATTCATCAAACTTAATGTTTATATGTAGTATAACTACCATGTTTATATGTAATATATGTCATGCATTACTGCAGAAACATTAAAAAAATCTTCTTTGGAGACTTTATAAGCTTTATAAGGTAGAAGGAAACCATCTGGTTTTCTATTGCTGGCTGATTGTCTTTCATCTTTTTTCTTTATATTTGCCTTCTAAATGTAATTTTTTTTTTTTTATTAATCTGATATGCATGCAAAATATATGGTCTCTGTCTCTAATGTGCTTTTCCTTTCCAAAAAATACCTCACTCCCCTGATCTCACTCATATCTATGATGCTTTGAATAACTAACCAATTCTTCATTCTTATCAACTAATGATTGTCTCATCCACTATAGCCCTAGATGAGCTAAAAGCTTTTTAATATTTTGAAAGAGCCTAACCCTGAGTTCAATTTCTCTGCAGGTTCTCTGGAGTTCCTCCTTCCAATCTTGGCAACAATACTAAACTAGTGGAGTGGATGCCACAGAACGACCTGTTGGGTACGTATCATCCTATCTCTCACTAAATAGGACATTTCTGAATTCTAAGAAATGCGTATGAAGTTTGAAAAAAAAAACATTTCCAGTAAAAATGTCAAAACACTCTCCATACATTATTATTCAAAAGTGAGAATCCTGAAAAAACTGCATCATGGTTTTCGCAAAAACATAAATAATATTAATAATAAATATTAAATTATTAATGAAGAAATGTTTTTGAGCACCAAATCAGCTTATTAGAATGTTTTCTGAAGTAAATACTAACTTGTTTTAAGGCTTTTTAGGTATTTTTACTGGAAGACATGCTTTTTTTTGTGTGCAGTATGTGTGAAGGAGAGATAACTCATCCTCCTCACTGCTTTTTTCTGCATCTCTTGGATAATGTCTCTGTTGTATTAGAAGACACAAAGCCTATGCATGCATTTGCTTGTATGAATGAGTTTCTGTTTCATTGTGCACCATGGGCTTGAGGTCACAGAGGGCCTTTCTGTCTCCATCATTATTTCTTTTTTCTCTTTCTCTCACTGTCTTTCTGCTGTCTGCCACACTTCCTGTTCTCTGATGACCTAGTCGATGCATCCTGTGCTTTGAGTTTGGATTGCTCTGGATTGCCAACCAGAGATAACGACAAGAAAAAAAGTCTGATACACAAAGTCGGTAGACAGAATGGACCCAAGGCATTTCTTCTCTAAGGACCCTCAGCTATTCAACACAAACGCTTACTTGTCTAAAGATCAGCTGGACTGAACTTCAAGATCAATGATCCATGGTCAACACTGTCACAATAAACAACAGTTTAAATTCCATTTTTATTCAGAGCATGAAATGCACTTACACACACTGTATGCAGCTTTGTGCATTAAATGAAACCGTCCTGCCTCATGTTAGTACCAGTGAGGGAGTGATACTGTACACACCCCACCCCATCCGTGAGAAACCTCGGATAAAATTTACAAAATCGTATGCAAATGTCCCTTTGATTTTCCTATGTGTCTTTAAATGTATTTTTAAAGAGATATAAGGGTACAATATGAGCTAATGTACAACTGGTGACTCTGAAAGGTCAATAAAACTCTTTGTTCATTGTGACTCATTCAGAGGAAGAAGTGTTAGCATGTATAGGGTATATATGAGCGGAGTGGAGTGGGAGCAGAGCAAGGAGTGGAGCGGCGTGATTTTTGACTGGAGCAAGGAGTGGATTTTTTAAAGTCGAAGCATCTGGGTTTTCACTCGCTCCGAGAGCGCTCCACTACCGCTCCATCACGAGCACAATTAATGCCAACAGCCCATAATATAACTGCATTTTATCAGGAATTCACGCATTAAACATCATTAACTAGCTTGACAGATGAAGGTGAGTGTTATAATGAAGGCGATGGACGAGTGTGGGAAGTTAAATCTCAAGCATGTTTGTTTGTAGCATGTGGATACTCAATATTAATTGGGTGAATTCACATTTTAAACAGTTTATTGTACAGGTAGTTAATCTTCGCTCTAAACTAATGTGCTGCTACACTGCTGCACGCATGGACACAACACACAAGCTCGCACATAACGCACAGGTTGCGCGCACATAAAAACATTCAGGAGTGCCAAAAATTGTCCACGCTGTCCTGTGAATTGTCAGCTTAAAAACGGAAAAGTTACTGCATATTATTTCTGTTTCTGAAGTAACTACAACCCTCAGCTTTGCCATAGTGGAGAGACGCTGCATAGACAACTGAATTAAACGGTCATTTAATGTTAAACTATTTTTCTAGTATTGTGTATGAATTTTTTGTTTAATATAATTTCTGAACAGAACTTTGTGATATTTCAAAACATACTGAAATACATTAGCCACAAATTTCGTCATGGAGCAAAGGAGTTTCTGATCAGTTGAGCGAGGAGTGGGAAATGCTGAACCCGGAGCGGAGCTGGAGCTGGACCTGGAGCGGAGTGATTATTGAATGCTTGGAGTGAAGAGGAGAAATTGTTGTCACTCCACTCCGTTCACATTAGGGAGGGATGAGTGTAAAGGCCAGGAGTGGCTCATGTTCACACAGAAGCAACTGAATGAAGAACTGCTTACTATTAGATCGATCTTGTTAACCTTTATTTTAATAGAATTATGGCACTATTTGTGAGGCACTTATCACTATTGTCTGAATATAAAATCCCCAATATTAATCTTTGGTGTGTAACTCATCTCACTGTTTATGCCATGTATATGAATGATACCTCTAATCACCTATCAATGAGAGGTGTGCCTTTACTTTTCTAAGCATTCAAACTGGTGGATGATAAACTGAAAGAGGGGCCCAAGTCATATCTAGGTGTGAGAATATCATAGGGGTGGACTCATTTTGGAATGTTACTGTATATTCAACAGTCTGAAAACAAGACAGGAGCATGTTCACCCTGATCCATTTCTGTACATAATTAAGAGTAAAAACTATATATCACATCTTAGTAAATTATAAGTCAACATTGGAACCGCTTCAAAGTTTTAACAAAGAGTGAAAAATTTAAGGGGGTCTGAATACTTTCCGTACCCACTGTATATATATAATATCATCAGTGCGCAATGAATCTCAGGATAGTCTGGGCCCCCAAACGATCCATTAGTTGTATCCTTTGTTATGTGGAAAACCAAGGATGCATTTCAAGGCCACATTTGAAGGAGCCTTCGAATTGGGAAAGCCTTCGTTGCACCGCAATAAAGCAATCAGTCTTTGAATGCAGCCTTCAAAGGATGCAGACTCTGAATTGGGATTCAGCTTTGGAGTACCTTAGCAACGGTGTAGAAATGCACTGGCAACCACCCAGAGCACCCTAGCAACGTACTGTAGTGGCAGGTTTTGCATGGATGAGACCACTTGCATTTTCTTTTAAAAATGTAAAAATCTAGTTTTCTGCTATTAAATCTAGTTTAGTGCTATATTTCATAGTGAATATTATAGTTTGTATTAAAGAAACCATAGGTATTAAAGGAACACTCCACTATAAGTTATCTAGCTGGGGACTATTTTCAGGCGCTGAGTAATATCATTGCGCCTGCTGTTCCTTGATTATTACGCCGGAATGAGAGTATAGTTCCTAGCCATATCGGCCTAGAAAATCGCAACTTTTCATTTTCCGTCGGTCTTAGTACACGATGTAACTACAGAAGAGTCAAGTTTTAAATACGAAAAATATAGAAACTCTTTGAATGAGTCTATTTTCAAAAATAGTGGAGTGTTTCTTTAATGTTACCATATTAATGTTAATGTTGTTACTATAGTCTCACTCAAAATACCACATTTAACTCTTTCCCTGCCACTGACAGAATTTTCTGGCTTTCCGTGTTATCACTGGTGTATGGTAGGAGGCGCTGTTGCACGTCTTCTGATAGTACTGAGAGTACTGAATCAAAACACAGGTGAAGAAGAAGCAGAAACAAGCGATTGCGTATGTAAGAAGATGCATGTAACGTGATCATTAAACATTAAACAGCATATAAATCAAAACTGCCTAACGTTTCCAAATGAAATATTGATACAGGAAGTGGTTTAGGACTGTGACGCTTTGGCTATGTTGATGGAAGTGAATGACTCCATCTATGTTTTGATCATTGTTCTGAATCCCATCCAGAAGTAGTCTTTGACAAAAATGTGGTTTTCTCAGCTTTTTGTTCAAAATGTTTTTTTTTTTAAACGTACCCACATTCAAGAGTTGATAAAAAAATAATGCATGAAAAAACTAGATACAAATTTTTTTTTTTTGAGCAGAGGGTCTGTTCTTTCTTTTGACACATTGCATGTTCAGATATTCATACAACAAAATATTCTGAGTGCCATGAAAATTTTGTGAAAATTATCAAAAATGCTGTTGGCGGCTGGCAACTTAAAAAAAAAACGCTGGCAGGGAAAGAGTTAAACAGTGATTACTATGCAGCAACTATGGTAAATGTTAGCATTTCATGGCAAATTGCAAATTTTTCAATAATAGTTGTCTTTTCTCTCACACTCTATCTCTTATTCACCTACAGGCCACACAAACACACGGGCCTTCTTGAGCCACGGGGGCTTGAACAGCATCTATGAGGCCATGTATCACGGTGTGCCCGTGGTGGGTGTTCCGCTGTTTGGTGATCACTATGACACCATGACGCGAGTTCAGGCCAAAGGCATGGGCATAATGCTTGAGTGGAAAAGGATGAGTGAAGAAGACCTTTACATTGCCATGGTTAATATTATTACAGACAAAAGGTAATTCACATGTGTATAAAATGCCTGAATAAAGTGAATTAAGCACACACAAACACACACTATCTTCAGTCATTGTAAAGCGTCTGTTAAAAAACAGGTAATACAAATCCAAACCCTCACACACACAGCCGAGTTAATCTTTAATGACTGTGGAATTGGGGTTACTCAAGTTTAATGATAAACAGGACCTATTGAAGACCCCGCAATGGTGTCAATATTTGCAGATCCATAGTGCTTTAACAAATCCGAGGAAGCCAAAGAGTAATGTAGCCTAAAAAACATTGTATTCTACAGACTGAATTTTAGGGGTTTAGCTGTATTAAAGTTCAGTTCACCCCAAAATGAACATTCTGTCATCCTTTACTTACCCTCATGTATTTCCAAACCTGTATGAATTTCTTTCTTGTGGAGAACACAAAAAGAGATATTTAGCAGAATGTCCAAGCTGTTTTTTCCCCCATAAAATCAAAGTGGAAGGTGGATTGAAGGCCACTGAGTATACAAAAAAAAGTACCTTTTTATTTATCACTATCAGTTTTTCAAATTATTATTGATTTATTTTCAACTATTAATATTAACTAATTATTTTGATTTGCATTTACAAAAATGTGAAGATCAGATCCGTATGGAAGCCCGTTTCCGACACTGGATAAAAAATAAAAAAGGTAACTGCGACTTTTTTTCTCATAATTGCGTGATATAAACTCGCAATTCTGAGAAATAAAGTCAGAACTGCGAGATATAAACTCACAATTCAGACTTTTTTCCCAGAATTGCGAGTTTATATCTCGCAATTCTGACTTTATAACACGCAATTGCGAGTTATAAAGTCAGAATTGTGAGATATAAACTCGCAATTCTGAGAACACATCAGTCTTCCCCTCCCCTCAAAATTGGACTTTAACTCGCAATTGCGAGTTTATATCACGCAATTCTGACTTTATAACGCTCAGTTGTGTTATAAAGTCAGAATTGCGAGAAAAAAGGTCAAAAGTTTATATCTCGCAGTTCTGACTTTATTTCTCCGAATTGCGACTTTTTAACTCGTTTATATTTCACAATTCTGTGAAAAAAAGTCAGAATTCTAAGATAAAAAGTCGCAATAACCTTTTTAAAATTTTTTATTCAGTGGCGGAAACGGGCTTCCATAGATCCGTGATTAAGTTGCTTGCTGATAGTTTTCATGGAACTTCGAACCTGAATTACAGATCAAGAAGAGAGAATATGGAACAGTGCCATCTTGTGGCCTTTATGTTAAGATCAACATCCTGTTGGTGAAATATATGTGCTGTCTCAGATGTTCTGAAACCTCTCCATCTCTCTTTCTAATAAGGTATCGTGAGCGAGCACAGTTGCTGTCTCAGATTCATAAAGATCAGCCTGGTCATCCAGTGAGCCGGGCGGTTTACTGGATTAGCTATATACTCCGTCATCGTGGCGCCGACCATCTCCGCTCTACAGTCTATGAGATCCCCACCTACCAGTACTTCTTATTGGACGTCGCTGTGGTGATAGGAGTGTGCCTGCTTCTCCTTGGCTACTTGCTATACCGAATAGGCAAGTGCATCCAATCACGAGTGGTGCGCGGTTCATCTCCGGCGGAGAAGGTGAACGGACATTGTCATAATGGAATTCCAAATGGCAAGCACAAAAGAAATGGCCATGTTAGAAGTACGGAGAAGAAACTAAAGTAAAGCACTAGGAGAAATCAACACTAACGCTTCACTAAAGAGAGGAATTAACTACTCTTCACTCAAAACAGGGCCTATCCAGGAAATAAATATATGGGTCAATAAAGAAACAAACCAACCATTATAACAACAAACTGTAAGTGGGAAGCCAAAGTAAGGAAGAATGGAAGGAAACCAGAAAACATAAATGGAAAGCCCACCCCCCCTTGTGGAAGTTTATCCTTGTGGAAAAAGCAACAGATTTGAAGTTTAGAAATTAACGTTTTTAACAAGAAGCTATCATGCTATGGGGCATCAGGTTTTACTACATCCAAATACAACAGAGATCTATATCTATTTATAGAAATGTCATACTTTTTTGTGCACTGTTGTGCGCTGATTTTAATTTATGTTCTATATTTATGTTTCACTCACTCCGTCCCTACTTTGTTTTCATTTCTTCAGGAATATTAATTCTTGGATGTTAGCAGTGCTAGCAAGCTAGCATATTTGCTAGTGTTTATTTTGCCAGCCTTGCCTTAATCTTTAATATGCTTTTTGTTCTGCTAACATACAACCTCATTCCTTGTAGACACAAATCTGCACTAGTTAATGTTGCTAGTTATGCTAGCTATGCAAAATGCTAGAGATTTTGATGGGGATAGTTAAACTTGAAAACTTGCTTCTATTTACAATAATTTTGGAAAGCTACAGTAGGAGCCAGTATACTGGTATACCCATACTATTGTGTTGCTTCATGGATGTTTATGTTCTGAAGTTTAAATTCTTCCTCACTGCAGTCATCTTTACTGAATGGTTTATTTTATTAAGCAAATCATGCTTAGGAGGAACATTTTAGGGGGGTGGGGGGTATATAGCAGTTACGCGTGAGTGCCTGTGTGTGTCTCGAAATGTCCCAAACAAACTACATTTTTATTAGAATATGTATCAGACGAGTGTTGTTATCAACGCAAAAGATCGTTTGCTGACATGTTCCCACAAATCAATGGGCCTAGAGTGACCTGGAGGAATTTGGTACTGTAATGAACATTTCCCATGGTGCTCTATTGGTTCTTTTAACCTTTAGCCATTTACATCACTGGAAGTTCTGTGAAAGGCAATATTTTGGTAACATGTCGATCTAACATTTAGTTGTGTGACTTTTCACCAGGTGTTTTGAGGTGGCAATAAACAGAACTTCTGCAAATTATTTGTGCGTTAAAGTGCATTCTCAGCCTCAGAGGTTTTATTTTAAATAAATGCCACTGGACAACCTGTTATAAAATCACATGCTGTTTTTACAACTCAATGTCAGACTGAACTGTTGCCAGTAATAGTCTCAGTGTGATTGTTTTAAATGCACCACAACACTGTTCATATAATCCTTGTCCCCCCCCCACCTTAAGAACACAAAACCAAAATAGCTTAAATGAAGAATCACTGATGTCATAATAATTTGAAACTGTTTTTACCATGAGGTTGAAAGCATTTCGTCAGCCAAGCACTGTTTTAGACTGCCCATACTTGAAAATACGCTAGCTGCAATACGGCTGCAAATGCATCAGAGCTATGACTGGTGAAACAGTGACGCACACATTTTGAACATCGTAATTGTTTTCTAGTTGTTTGTTTTGTATGATTTTCAGTATTAATATTAGATGGTTAACAACAGAGGAAAAAGCTGCAGATGGACTCTAACCTTAAAGGCCGTGTGTGTGCGCGAGTTGTAATAGATTGTTATTTCTTATATGTGAAATGCGTATGCGTGTGCATTTGAATGGGGTTGCTTGAGCCTACTTGTGTCCAGCTTTCCCTTTATATACTGATCATTTAAAACCAATGTTCCAGTTCGCTTACAGTGCATTGAAGCCTTTCTTTGTCTCTCATAGTCTGTTTCCTGATAAAGTCCTTGTAGAAGTAGTTGTTAAAGGCTGCTTGAAGGAGTTTAGTCTTATTTTTTTAGTTTTTTTTTTCATAATGATTTAATGTGTGTCTGTGTTATGTAAATAAAAAGACAAACAAATATACTAATGGTAAATAAACATTACATATTTTGTTTGCTTATTTCTTGTCTGATGATTCTCTCTCAATTTTAATGTATAAGAATAAGAAAAAGATTCTGCCACTTGCAACACCAAAGGATATTCAGTGAGTTAGTCACAAAGCACATACGTGGCGTCTCACTTCTGTTCTCAAGTTACACTGTCCCGAAGTGGTTTGTCTCGGTTTTTTCCCATGACCTCATTTATAGTTGTGTCTAAATGATAACCCTTATTCTGCTAAATGTTCTTGCATGTGCATTTGGTGCTATCAGGTTGATACGCTTTATTAACTCAATATTGTTATCCTGTGAAAAGAGCTTTGAATACAAATTTCAATTTGCAGTAAATTTTCATAGTCTAATGGATGACTGCGGGGGGAGTTGAGGGAGTGTAAAACTACACGCAGGTTAGTCGGCAGGTATCAGGTGTTGTCCTGATGTTTTCAGCACTCTGTCACATTAGATGGGTGTGTATCCTGAAGATACTTGTGTACATTATGTGTTGATTAAGAGATAAACTAAACATAATCAATAGCAAACATGAGATAAAAACGTTGGCGGACGCAACCATGCTTGTTTCTAAGTCCTTTGAGCTCTTTTATCGTGACTCGTGTTTCACAGGACTTGTACCCAAGTGCTCCAAATTGCAAGTGTAGTGCTGTACCAGGTGCGCTACCGAGAAAGTTTACCACATTAGAAAAGCTATATATATATATATATATATATATATATATGGAGCTGATTATGAGATGCAAATGTCAAAATGGTTACAATCATGCACCATGGTAAAAGTGTTTTGAGATTATAGCATAGTATTGTGCAAGGATCATAAATCATAAACTGGTGTGAAATGGAATAAAAGTTGTTGGTGTTTTACTGCCACCAGTGTTCATTTCAGCTGGAAACTGCAGTGAATTGTGTGTATAGGTATGTTTTTGGAGTTTTGCAAGAGTTTATAGTAGGTAGACGCACGCTTTTCCAATAAGCCTTGGTTGCAATTAGAGGAGAGTGATTTTGGGAACATGAAGGGTGAGTGGAAGATCTAAGTGTGATGCTCTTAGTTCTTTTGGAAGCTTCCACTCTCGGCAGTCCTCGACTCCTCAGTGTGTTCAGAGAATTGATATGTCCTTCATGGTGGCAAACTTCAATCAATTTCCAGGTCAGAGGCCGAAAGACAGAGGAGCAAGGAAACAAGCGTCAGATAGAGTTTTGAGAAGCACTCTTTCTTCTACATTCAGGAAGGTGCCGCGATTTGAGCCTGACAGGCTAATGAGGCCTCAACCCCTAACCTAAGCTGATCAGACTGTTAGGCACAAAGTGGGGCACCTTGCATGCTTTTGAGCCAGTTACCCGAGCCGTAAATGTCATGAGACTAACCACTTCAGAGCTGAAGGGAAATGATGTCATGGCAATGCTGATGGCGCCACAGGAACATGAGGTCCCATGTCCTTTACTTCTGACCGTGACAAGGCAGCAGACAGGGAAAAAGATAAGACCATAGTATAATAAAAACTACAAAATAGTAGTAGTATAGTACAAACTGACCCCTTGATCAGGACAAAAGAGAATATTAGATGGAGAAAGTAAGAGACTTTTCTCTCCACTAGAGGGTGCAGTACTTGCCATTTACTTGTGTTTTCTAACATAAATTGTACATCATTTTACAGTTATAGCTTATATAGAGCGTTGTTATTGTTAAGCAAAACTATTAGCATTTTAGTAGCTGAAATAAAATAAAATATCAGGTAAAAGCTTAAATGAAAATGAGAACCATTGCCTTGGCATCTAATTAAAATAAATTGAAATAGACTACTAAAAATAATAAACAAACTGAAACAAAAAAAAAATCTATAAATAAATCAAAACAAAATAAAAATGAAAAGAACATAAAAATACTAACATTTAAATTAAACTGAACACTGGAAATAAAAAAAAAAGTTTTAGTCAGTCAGAAAACCTATCCAAATAGAGAATGTACTCTGTCTTTGGAGGGTGTGTTTTTTTTGGATTGTGGTTGAAGTTAGCAAAATTAAAAAAAAAATAAATAAATAAATAAAAAAACAGCTGACATTGATTACAGCTCCTTGACTCTCAGAAAAAAAGGTACAAAAGCTGTTGCTGTGGCAGTACCCTTTCCAAAGGTACTTTTAACTTTGGGTAATAATATGTACTATTAAAGGTACTAATATGCACACTTTAGGGGTGAATAAGGTACAAAAGTGTACCTTTTGAAAAGGAACCACCACAGTGACAGCTTTTGTACCTTTTTTTCTGAGTCTTTAATCTGATTGGATTTTGAAGTTAAAATTAATTAATTACATTTAAATTTATTTATTAAATGTATTTATTTTGAGTGTGTCCTGTCGAATCTAGATTCCTAATTTAATTTGTAAAGTTTCTAGATTTCTACATAAATTTCTACACAAGGTCCTAAAGGATGTAGTATTGCTTTGAAAACAGCAGGTGGAACTGTTGGTTTATAAATGTAGACAATCAGAGTAAAACTTACCCACATAAGACAGTGATGACTAAGACGAAGCCAGACGCTGATATCTTCTGTTTCAGTTCTGGTGCTCTGTTCATTCATTAACTCTCATAACTGCATCTCATGTCTTCGCTGATGAATTAGTGAAGGGCAGCCTTTCTGATGTAAACCTCTGCAATATTAGTGCATGTGGGGGGGGGGAATAATATCACTACTATAATATTGCTGTGCATTTAGATGACACTGCTTTATTTCAGCAGAGAGACCTTTTGCTGTTATCATCTAAAAGCATCTGCTAGCCTAGACACCTCACCTTGTGATTAGAACAGTATTAAAGGCTCAAGGTTGGGTCAAATGCAGTAGGGGGAAGAACTGCTAATAAAATATGCAACACTTACACAGTCACACACACAAAATTGCTTTCACTATCAAGCACCATGTAATTTTTGTTAATTCAGATAATAGAGGCAAAGGCATTATACCGAAGAAAAAAACTGGCCCATTTGTAACACTTAATTCGATCATGGGTGAGGTCTTTGACATCTATTGTTTTTATAATGAGCTAATTATATTTATATCCCCTAATCCTGAGGCCAAAAACACGTACCTAAATGAAAATGTAAACTTAAAGGCAAGGACACGAACGAAAGCGTGAGCTGCAATCCCACCGCGCGGTCAAGGGGGCGATAGAGTTACATTCAAACGACTTTCACATTAAACCGGATGTGTCTCGACCAAAATGTATGCAAGTATGCCAGCATTTTGCCAACTCAAAACCAACGTGCAACCTGCCCTCCTGTTTTGGTCTGGCGGTAACAAACCTCAGGGGCGACATAGTTTAACTCACATAACTCTAATTTTAAACCGGATGTGTTAGTTTTCGGTTAAAGTGCCCCTATTATGGGTAATGAAAGGTTCATATTTGGGGTTTGGGAGTCCCCAACAACAGGTTGATATGCATGCAAGGTCAAAAAACACTTTCATTGTCTTATAATATGCATTTATTTTTTACCTTACTTGCTCAAAGACTCCCAAATGATTCGTTTAATGATTAATTTTTCCAAACCCCTCCTTTGCGTGACGCGGTGATTGGTCCGATTGGCCTCATTTTCATTTCATCTGGCCTGTAATGCCTGATAAAGCAGGGTTTGTGAGAGCAGTGCTGCTTTGTGTACAGCATTACCGGGGAAACCGTTATTTTACGCTCCAAAAGCGGCACCTAGTGGCAAAAAATGAATTTGCATTTTCATTCAGACCAACACGAAAAGATCAACAAGTGGGCGGGCAATATGCTAATGTTTCATGTTGACGTCAACATGAAACGGCTTGGGATTAGTTTTAAA